CCGCAGGCTGCAGCCCGCGCTGATTTCATTGGTCTGAGGCCCCCCCAACACCTCTCCGGCGCGGGTGAAGACGTCCGGAACCAGAACTCCAAGGTGACCGCGTAGGTTGTGTGAATTTTGTCCCTGAAGCCGCTCTCCACCCGGCTACGGATGCGGTTTTCGGCCCGCTCGAAACGCGACTCTTGGCCCCGGCCCCTGGCCCCTGGCCCGGCCTTGTTGCCACAGCATCTGGAGGCCCCGAATTTTATTTGGCTCACGATCCGGGGACAAGCGCCCGCATCCATTGTGTGTACCCATGCTGTTCCCTCCTCCTGGAGCCCACCTGGATTCCTCAGGTGGCTGGCTGACTTGCCCACTCTTAGATAATACTGATAAAAATAACTCTCCTAAACACTACATATATCAGCTCATATGTCTTCATAAGGGTCTATATATTATCTCCATTTTAGAAATAAGCAATCTGGCTCTGAAGTTAAACTCCCTAGCTTGTACTCTTAGCCACTAACCTCATGTACCAATTAATATAATAGCTCAGATAACAAAATCAAAACAGATAAAACCCATAATCAAGGCTAATACCGCCTGAGGGCTTGCTGGGGCCACGGCCAGGAACTGCTACCCAAGCCTTGTCCATAGAGCAGGAACTAACAGGAGAGAAAATGGAGGCTCCGAAGGCAGGGTCACTTGCCTGAGGTCACAGAGGGTGTCAGGACCAGGTCTGAACCTGGGCTTGGCTATGCCAAAACTTTTGGTGATGACTAATTCAGATTCCCTTGTCAACACACCTCTCCCTGCCAGAGTGAGCGGCTTGGTTTTGCCCTCTCCAGGGCTCACTTCCTGCCTGTGCCCTCTGCCTAGAACACTCCATCTCACTTTTTTTTGCCTGGCTTTGTAGCTACTCAGGCTTTGGGTATCAGGAGTCACCTCTGCTGGGAAGCCCTCCCTGGCTCCACCCCTGTCTGAGACAAGGTGCAGCTTCCAGTGGACATGCTTGTAACTTGTTCTTTCTCGTAGCACTCACTGCCAATTACAGTCATATTGTCATCCAAGTCTGTCTGCCTGACCTCCACCCTGAGATCTCCTTCACATGCATGGCCTAAATTCCATCTCTAGGCTCTCAATACCCAAATTTCTACCTTCAGCCCAGACATCTCCAGGCTCTTCCTCCATAGGGGTCTTAGAGGTGTCTCAAGCTTCACATATCATAAACTGACCTTCCTCCCAAACCTGCTTCCTCTCCACCTTCCCCATCTAGGTTAATGGCACCTCTGTCCTTCCAGTGACAGAGACCAAACACCCCAGGGTTGTCCACTCCAACCTGTCAGCAGACCTCTTTGACTCTACCTACAGAATCTAAACTCTTCTCCCCCTCCACTGCCCCACCCTGGCCCAGCCTCCCTCCCCCCTCCTGGACCGCACAGGAACCTCCTCCCCATCACTCCTCCCATCCCTTCCCCCACAGTCTGCTTCCCACTTGCAGCAAGAGGGAGCCTGTGGTCAGGGCCCTTCGCTCAGGGCCCACCTGTGGTTCCACCTCACTCCAGATAAGAGTCAAAGTTCTCACCACCCGCATCAAGTCCCTAGCGATCTGTC